TTAAACGATATTTGAAAGTAAAACTTCAGTAAACCTTAAACCGTAAAAACTTTATGAAATATTAATATCAATAGTTATACTGTCAATGGTTTATTCAACTCGTATTAAAAATTTTCAACACACACACACACACACGACTTTTATAATTTATTAAATATAAATATTCATTAAATAAAAAATGAAGAAAACAACTTTTATTTCTATTTTTATACTTTGACAAATTTTATCATGGAAAATGTAACACAAGCGTTATTTCAAATATTTATTTATAAAATATCAATGTTAGATCTATGATATATAATGATCATTTAAATCGAGGCACCCTATATATATATAAATGTCAGAAAGGGAGAATCGAACGTGTCGCATTTGCTGTACCCAATGCGATTTATTAATTATTTATACGAGTGTCATATGTGTGTGTGTGTATATATAACGTCTGTGTTTCTATATCTCTTTCTTCTCTCATGCCTTTTAAAATTCCATGTCGACAACATTGAGCTTTTTATTTTTTACTTCTTTTTCTTTTTAAAAACGACGTAAGTTCTCTATTAGACACGTCTTATGCTAAGTTTACTTTGTTTGTCTAGGCTGTTAGCACAGGATTAGCATAATCAAATAGTTTTGCCAGGAAGAGACGTGTATATTACTGTTCGTAGCGTCAATTACATCGATCTGAAAATGCGCGTCTTTTTTCTACTTACGAGAAATTCCCTTCTTTCTCATCATTTTATATTTTTCTTTTTTTTTTTTTTTTTATAAAAATGAAGATGAAAAATATAAAGAAAAAAAAAAGAAGAAGAAGAAGAACGAGTTTGAAATTAATGCGAAATTATTTTTCATTTAAGCTAGTCCATCTCGATCATTTCATCTCATTTCATCTCATTTCATATTTTATTATCTCGTACCGTCTCTCATTTCATCTCATTTCATCTTGTTTCATCTCATACTATTTCATTTCATCTTATTTCATCTCATTTCAACTTGTTTCATCTCATACCATCTCATTTTATTTTATTTTATTTCCTACTAGGAACCAACTAACAGATTCAAATATTTTTGGTATTATTATGTATTAAAGTATACAAGTATGTGGATACGTATGTGTGTGTGTGTGTGTGTGTTTTTTTATATCCCTGAGGTCTTTTCTTTGCTCTTTAAAGATTACGTGACGACAACGTTACGAGACAAGCCTCCTCTTTTTCGATTTGATTATTTCAGGAAACTAACTTCTTCTTACATAGATACAAATCAATTCAATTATTTATGAGATTTCTTTTCAATTTCAATTTTGTTGTTGTTGTTGTGTAGTTGAGAAAGAAACGGCACAAAAATGATTATTAGATTGATTATTATTATGTTTATGAGCATATTGATCTATATCAATTGATTGATCAGTTTTAATGATAACAAGATAATGTCGTATAATCAAATTTAACATCAGTTCCATTTGGTTAATATTAACACGGTTAATTTCAGAATTGATACAAATAATTTATAAGCAGTATTTATAATGAAATTTTAAAATTTAACCATCACTCAACAATATGATTTAATAACAATAGATGACACTGCAGTAGTTAAATATCTTAATTATTAGACACTAGTTTAGATTGATTATTATTTAATTACATGTTTAATTTAATTTGATGACGTTACAAACGAATTTTTTAATTAATCACGATTTAATGGTGCTACAGTCTAGTTTATGTGTTAAAAAAAAAAATATATATCTAATGTATGGCTTAGTAATATATAAAAGATTCAGAACATTGATGATCGAAGTAGAAATAAAAAAATATTATTATATATTTACAGTTTCAAAGAACTATGTATTTTTGAGATTATATAATTTTGTGTCTTATAATTGCTGAAGATGTCCTGATAAAAATACGAAACGTTCATGAATTTATTGAAAAATATGTTCTGATCTTTTTTGATTTGTCCAACTTCTCCCCCATGATACAAAATTTTAATACATTTTATTTTGTCAATGCAAAAAAACAATCTAATTGAGTTAACATAAGTATTATTAATACACAATAGTTAATCATCTTTCAAAAATGCAATAAGACATTTTTTTGTATCTTATTTACGAACTTGTTAAATGACCATAACGGATCATTTTGCTTGGTTTGCTTGGTTTACTATCTGTATTGGAAATTTCCAAGCATGGTGATCGAACGGTTCACCCAATACGGCTTCTTGGACAGTCAAGAATCCTGTTTTGAGTAGTCCCCCCGAACCTAACTCTCGGTGACTTTCATTTTACGAGTCGTTGCAACGAGTTGTATTAATGATACGCGAGTTACCCAGTCGACACGACAACATTAACCATTTAACCATTTTAATGAACATCATGTATAATATAGAAATATACTTTTTTTTATGGTATACTATGTTATAGTAGTGTATGATTAAATATATATATAATAGTATTACAATTTGATTATTATATAATCATTTTAATAATTATTTATAGTATATATTATAATGCCAACTATAGTTCATATATAATAATAATATTACAATTTAATTATCATATATAATCATTTTAATAATTATTTATATATTTTTATATTTAAATATATTATATACATAAGTTATATATAATTATTATTTTAATAAATTAATTTTAAAATAATTAAATTATTTTTTTTAATGAAAATACTATAAATATTATTATTAATAATATTACAATTTGATTATTTTATATATATATAATCATTTTAATAATTATTTATAGTATATATACGATATACGTATAGTATACGAACTATAGCTCATTATACTATAATATATTATTTTTTTTTTTATATTGAATTATATAATAATTGGGTCGAGGAACAAATTTTGTTTCTTTTTAAATGTCTTCGACGATGTTATTCGAATCTGGTAATATACTTTCAAGCATGTTTTTTTTTTTCAAGCTGACGTATCGTGAAGTAATTTAATAAAAAAAAAAAAAAAAAAAACAGGAAAAAAAACCAACTTGTAATATTTGTTTACTCATTATAAAAATGTTGTGTCGGCGTACTTGAAAGCAAAGAAAAGAAGAATATTCGACGATACATTTGAAAATTTGATTACGA